GTGGAGACCCTGGGCTGCACCTCCGTCATCTGCTCCGACAAGACCGGCACCCTCACCACCAACCAGATGTCCGTCTGCCGGGTGAGTGCCAGGGGTGTTTTGGGGTGCAGGGGGGGCGATGCTCGGTAAGCCCCCGAGCACCCTGCATCGCTCCATCCTCATCCTGGGGTTCCGGGCTTTGCTGTCCTCACCAGACTTGTTTTCATACTGGGAATTTGGAGGGGAGCATGGAAGATGGTTTGTAGGAAGCCCTGAGCTTCCTCTCTGCCCGACTTCGGGTGAGGAGGTTTATGGCTTCTCTTCAGAGGGTTGTAATTAGAAAACTCACTTTTATGAGCACACTGGTTTGGAGGTGCTGCCTTGCAGACTTATTTCAGGGCTCCCTCTCCAGAGAGCGTTTCTTCCTGCGGGGATGTGGTGTTGAGGCAGAGCTCCTGGAGATGCCAGTGCAATCGGCCTCCTCTGCTCTCTTTCCCCCATTTCCCCCCCGTTTTTAACCAAACCAATGAGAAATCCTGGGCCATGCAAAATTAAAAAGTCCGGACCTGTGAGGCCAAAACTTGGAGGGTCAGTGCAACACGTGGGTCTGTGACAAGCTCATGCAGAAATCCAGGGGTTAAGAGAAGAAGCCCATGACCTGGTGAAAAGGTGCTTTGGTTACCCCTCCTCACCTGGCAGAAGGTCGGCCATCAGCAGTGGTGTGTGGCTGGGCTCGGATGGAAAAGCACTTCTGATGGAGGGAGCCCTGGGATGGTTTGGAGAAGAGATTGAAGGCTCCTGGTCTACCAGAGAGCTTTGCTCCCGCATGCGTGGTTGTATGGAGAGGTGACTTGTTAGGAAAGCCTGCACCATCCAAGTACTTCTCAGTTTCCCCATCAATCCTCAAGTCTGAGGAAAGCTTTTTTTTTTTTTTTTTCATGATCTTGGCGCATCGGTTTTATAGGAGAACCTTGGAAAATGTGTTGCTGTGGGGAAAAAAACGGACCTGGCCACCGTCCCTCCTCTCTGACACTCGGGTAGCGTGGTGGGAAGCTGTGACCCTGCTGCAAGCTGGCCACAGGCTTTGGCCACTGGTTTGCTGAGCACAAAGTACAGATGACTGGAAATGTCTGATATTTCTGCTCTGTAAATGATTTAAAACAAAGGCACTGCTGGAAGGAGGCGGCAACCAAGCTGCCCATGACTTGCAGGAGGAGGAGGTTCCCACCAACTCATTTTCTGACCCAGTGATGCAGGGACGCAAGTAAAGGGTGACCCCAGCGTTTGGGGTCTCTTTAGCTCTGCAGACTGCAGAAGGAGAGGTAGGAGTGACCGTGCCTTCCCCAAACCCCTTCCTACCGGAGGATCTGCTCCTTGAACTTGGGAAGAAGTGCCACCACCTGCTGCAGTCTGTGGTGCGGTTGGGAGAGGTGAGATCAGTGATGCTGAGCCAGGGAGAGGGCAGGAGAGGGACAGAGTGGGGCAGACAAGAGGGTTTTAGCATCCATCATCGTTTGAGAATGAACTCAGCAACTTTACCAAAAAAACCCCCAAAACCAAACACTAAATTCAATTAAAAATTCAGTGTGTCCTCCACCCCATCTCCCCACAACCCCGTTCCGATATCCGTGTTATTCCCTTGGCTGAATCCTGACTCCCAGGGTACAATGCCGAGAGCTGGGCTGGCCCCAGGACACGCAGACCCGGCTGTTAACGTTTAACGGAGAGGGATTCCCGCGTTGACGTGGGCAGCACCGAGAGTGCCCGGCGGTGGGTGGGTAAATATTTGTGGTGGGCGGCCGTTAAAAAAAAACGGGCCCCGGCGCTGACCCACCGGCTCAGCCACGGGGGCGAAAAAGCCACGAAAGCCTATCGATAACCTGGAAAAATGTATTAATCGAGTGTGATTTAATTAACTCACACATTAAATTTGGGGGAGCGCAGCTGCTAGGCCACAGGGTGTGCTGCCAAGCAGGGCTTGCCCTTACGTCTCGCTGCCGGCGTTGGGTCTGTGGAGTCGTAAAGTGACTCTTGAAAAGCTTTGGGTCTTTTTTAAGACCCTCAGCTGGTTTTTAAGGATCTGGAACCAGCGGCACAGCCCTGTTCGGTGCCTGGGTCTTTTGGCTGGGGTGCCGGCTGAGCCAGCTCAGCAGGACGCATATGGATCCCAGGGGGTCAGCAGGGGTGAAGCTGTGCCCCCCAAATGGCCGTGGGCATCAAGTGCCCACTGACGTGCTTTGTGCCAGGGACCTCATCCATCTGGGGTGGCCGAGACTTTGGTGCCTCTGCTCTGACCTCGAGTCCACCGAAGGTGACAGCTCTGCAGTAATGCAGTAGAGCCACAAACCTGCTGAGTAAATCAGATTAAACCTGTGGTTCGTGTCACTCATGGTCAGCTGGGGGTCTCCCAGACCACCACCTCACCCAGCCCACGGTGCGGAGCAACCAGGAACATCCTTCACCCAACCGTTAAATCATCGCGCGGCTGGGAGTGAGGGGAGGCTGGCAGGGGGGAGAAGGGGCACAGAAGCATTGCAGCTCTGCTCTTGCACATTTAAATCACTCTCCTAAAACTTGCAGCACCCTTTTATGCATCATATTTTCATTTTCCAGGAACACGAGGGTGGCGTTTGAAAGTCAGGACCTGAAGCAGAGATGCGAGTGTGACCGTGTGGGCTGGGGCTGGTGCTGTGTGGGGCAGAGCAGGATGGGGCTGGAGGTGGGGAGGTGCTGGTGGCCCGTGTCTGGGAGAGGGAGGTGGCTGGTGACGTTTGACTGTCTCCGAGATGGCTGGTGTTTGGGGAACAGGAGCAGAAAGGGGGTTATTTTCAATAGACCTTGTTGCAGAGCCGGGATGAGCAAACTCCCCTCCCCGGTGCGGCCGCCCAGGAGCTGTGCGGGCACTATTTGCTTTTTAGTCTCCAAGACACTGTGCCTTGATTCAGCGGGTTTGTTTGTCTAAACCAGTCACAGATTCATGGGAGACCTTGCTGGGGGTTTCCCAGGGGCTGCGGCCGAGCCGCCGGCTGTGGCAGTTGCCGGTGGGTGCCTGTCGGCTGGGGCCGCTTCCAGCGAGGGAGGAAAATGATGCTGATCCGTGGGCTGATTGATGGGTAAATGACTGATGATTACAGCCTCTTACTATTCCAGACAGCAATCCCATCTTGTCTGCCTTTTGATGAGTAGTTCTTTTAAAGATACTACAGAAAATACAGAAATGTGGAGACGTGTCCTTCACATCTCCCTTCCCCGTGAGCCTGAGGCAGATGCCATGTGCTGCTCCGGATCGGTGCATCCGTGAGTGCCCTTTGCTTTCTAAAAATACAGGTCGGCATCTCCCTCCATCAGCCTCCCCAAAGCCCCCGGCTGAGCTGCAGCACGCAGCTTTGCCACCTCCTGTTGCTCCTGTTATTCTTCATATTATTTTTGTGATGGAAACCTTACCTCCCGGCTTTACGGATTAAGACGCAGTTATTTCCTCTGGATTGTTTCCACTGCCTGCAAACCTGTCCCCTTTTCAGCCTGGACATCTGCCGAAACGTCACGCCAAAAACCTGCGAACACCTTCGCAATGCCCCAGCCGCCCCCTTTCTCTGCCAGTCACGCCAGCTGGGCGCAGGCAGGAAATTTGATATAACCTTTGGTTGCTGTGGGTTACGCAGCACCTTTTTTTAAATAGGCATGGAAAAATAAAGGGCCTGGAATGATTTTTTTGTTTTTTTTTTTTTTCCCTTTTCCTTTTTTAATAAGAAAGTTGCTATTGTGAAAGGCGTAATTGTTTTGTAGCCATGAGCGTTTGAAAACATACAGGCCCCTATCAGGCAAAACCACTGGTGGCTGGGGTGGATGCTTTCAGATTTTTTAATAAATGAGTCTGGTTGTCATTTCTGAGTGCAGGAGTCCATTTTCGGAAGAGACCAGGAGATTTTTGGCTCTCTGGAAGGCCAATGGTGTGGGACGTCTCAAAAAGAGACGAAAGATGCTCAACCTTCAAAGGTCCCTTTTGGTGTTGTCTCAAACGGGGTGCCACACTTCACCTCGGTTTCTGGAGTCTGTCATCTCGGGGAGATTCAGTTGGTGAAGGAGATAGGATGTGTTTTGGCTCTCTTTATCCAGGTCCTTCATGTGTTAGTGTTGGTACCTCCTGCCAGAGGAGCACAGTGCCTCAACAGAGGACCTGGGGCATCTCTTCTGCAACCCTTTGGCTCATGATTTTCTTCGAAACCCTTCAGGGATGCTGAGGGACCTCCAGGATGGGCTCTGGGAAAGGAGCTGAGGGCAATAGCCCAGCACACGGGGTATCTGCAAATAGCTATGAAGCTGGGGAGCCACCGGGACGTTGCTTTGGGCTCAGCAGTATTCACAGAGGAAACGTACGCTTTGATCCTCCCACTTTGATTTGCCCAAACCTGTAAAATACGGCGGTGAGAAAACCCGCCAAAAAAAAATGCTAAACCTGCCGTGAACGTGCTTCCCTGAGCCTCAGCTGTTCTGCTTGGCTTGGTCCTAAGCTTGGACCTGGGGATACCAGGCTGCCTGGGGCAGTCTCACACCAGCCAACGTGGCTGCACTGGCAGGGTGTCCTTGTATTATTAACAATAATTAACAATACCAGTAAATTAACCTCTGTTAGTTGCTGGAGGTAGCGTGGAGGGGAGCTAAGAGAGTGGTACCTGCAGCCATTGCATCTCTGAGCGCTGCCTCCTGTCTTCTCCAGCATCTGTTGCTTCTCTGTCCTGGGGAACATCTCAAAGAACCAGAGGAAAATAAATAGGGGGAAAAAAGAATTATTTGAGACAAGTTTGGAGGGGATAGTTGCCCCCACATCCGCTTTCTGGAGTCGTCGAGCAGGTTCATGGAGCTGAGGAGAGCATCGCTTCCCTGCAGCCATCCTCCCTCCTGGCTGCTCCCTGCAGACCATTGCGGCCAGGGAAACGCATTTGTCAAACCAATTTTATTTATTTATTATGTTACTTTTTGGCTTCAGCATGGGTCCTAAATAACGATTAAGCAGAAACGAACGTTGCCGAGCTGTTGCCTTGGCTGGGGTCGGGCACTGCTCTCGCTCCTGCTGGAGGCTGCCCCGAAGGGTGGGCTGTGCTGGGAGGGGGCGAGGGGACTTTTTATTGTATTTTAGATTTGGGGGGGGTTGTTGATCTCACTATAACAGCAAGAAAGAAACAGGAAGGAGTTTGAAAGACAAAAATCACTAAAAATAGAGCATGTGGGACTTTTACGACTCGCCAGGGCTTTATTACCGAGCTGCCACGCTGCCGGAGCTGAACTGCCATCCCAGTAAGGCACAAGGCGAGGTGGTGGCCTGGAAGGGGGTGGCAGGGGCAGCTGGTCGGATCCTGCCCCGCAGAGGCTTTCCAGGGCAGCTGGGGCAGGAGCAGAAACCTGGACCCGGTTCCTCCTCTGCTTCAAGAAAAACACAGGCACCTTCTTAGGAACTGGCTCGACATCGCTCCTCTCCGATGGAAAAAAAGAGCTGGAGGAGGCAAACATGAAAAAGGCAGGGGAGGGCTGGAAGGATTCGGGGACGGCCAGGAGCGGTGGGTGACCAGGGAGGGGGCTGAGCCCAGTGCCGGCAGGGCCATCACTGGGATGGTACCGGCTGGTGGGTCTCCAGGCTGGGCATGTGTGTTGTGCCAAAAAATCGTTGCCTAATGCTCTGTCTCCATCTTTCCCCCTTGCAGATGTTCATTATGGAGAAGGTGGAGGGCACCGAATGCAGCCTGCACGAGTTCAGCATCACCGGCTCCACCTACGCCCCCGAGGGACAGATGTGAGTGCGGGTCCCCGCCGCTTCGCCGGTGCCACGGGGTGGCACTGGGCTGGCAGCATGAAAGACACGGGTGTGTCCGTGGCTGGCAGCAGGGTTAGGGGGGTGGTGGGAGGGTCAAGCTTGTGGCCGTGGCTTGGGAGACCCCAGGCTTGCCCCGTGAGCTAGGGAGAAAGGGGAGTTTTCCACGGCGGTTTGCAGCTACGCTGAACCCTGCCCACGGAGATACCCGCTGGGCGCTGGGTTTTGGCCACGCTGGGTTTGCGAGCGTTGGGTGACTGCCCTTCGCTTTCGGTGGGAGCCAGGGCAGTTGTTCCACTGTCCCTTGTCACCGGCCCCTGCCCGACACGATGGGAGGGGTGCGTGCCCTGGCTCTGCCTGCCGCCCTCCCACTGCTCAGCAAAGGGGCTCCCGCCCGCTCGGCTCGCCCTTCGTTAGCAATCCTGATACAACGAGCCCGCTTTAGAACTGGAGAAGATGGCAAGTGTGGGAATAGTGATGAACGAGGCTTTTCACAGTACGTGCTCATTCTGCAAATTTCTGAAGCTTGTGTATTTTTGGTATTGGCCGGCAACCGTTGTCCCCACCAGCTTGCGTATTTTTGGTATTGGCCGGCAACCATTGTCCCCACCCCAAGCAGGTCCCAGGACCAGCTGCTTGTCCGGGGCGATGGGCAGAGGGACTTGCAAATGGCTGCAAACCCCGGCACGAAAGCGCTCCCTGAGCCCTGTGTCCTTGGTGGGGATGGCCGAGATGGCTGCTGTGCCCAAGGCATGGTCCTCCTGATGTCAGGACACATTTCGGGGGAGATGTGGGCTTTGCTGAGCTGCAACCGAGGGTGGGGAGCGAAAGCCGGGGGCTTTTCCCTGGGGTGTTATTACACACATGGGGTTTGCTGCTGCTGTGGTTGTTTATTCCCCCTCCTTTGAAAGGAGGTGATGCTCCCTAGTGTGGGGTAAGTCTGGGAAGGAGGAAGATGAGAAGCTGAGTCGGCAGTTGGAGCACTCTTCGCTCCCCTTTGCTTTGCTGTGGGATCCCGGCCACATTCTTCACCGCGGTCCCTTCTATTTGACCCTTGGCTAGGAATCCCCATTAAAAAGTGAGCCAGGTCATAACCTGGTATCAATCAGTGCGTTTCAATTCAATGAGGAGGACTGCAGGGCCGAAGTCGTGTCTGCTAACCTCTGAAGCTCGATGTCCCCTCTCCCCTGGGGACCGCCTGCAGGGAGACTCCGCGTTGGCCTGCAACAGTTCGTGTTGCTTTTGGGTTTTGCTTCAGCCCTGTGCTTGTATTGCACATGGAGGAGGACGCAAGGGCTCGCTTAGGTGTCACGGAGAGCCCCCCCCCCCCGTTCTCCCAGGGCTGGTGGGACTGAAACGCTTATTTTGCTTTAGCCTGGCCTCGGTGGGGGGGATATTATGTGCTTGCCCTTGGGTTTGCTCACATCCCCACGCAGCACCCAGCCAGCAGCACCTTTGCTGATGCATTTCCCAGCACACGAGTCTCTCCAGGCTCCGTGCGGGGACAGCTGACGATGGGGACCTATCCCCCCATCCCTTCCCAGCAATATCCAGGGGATCACATGCTGCAGAAGCCATCCCCAGTATTTCCACGTTCCCAAACATCAAAACCCATCCCAGAGTGTGGGCAGGCTCCATCCTCCTTCCCCCTGCCCGTGAGCCGGGGCCGGGCAGCATCCTCGGGGCAGGAGGCAGCGGCTCTCCCCTGCCCACTCTCAGCCCAGCGCGCCTTCTTGTCCCTCGGCAAACAGATTCTTCAGATTTTCTTGGCCGCTCCCTGTTTTCCGCTCCTGAGCTGTAACAAGGGCTCCAAAATGTTCTTTCCATTGGGAACCAGCAGTGGAATAAACGGATCCTAATAAATGCCTGACAAATTATTTTTCCAGCAAGCAGATGACCGGCTGGGTTTATACAACTCTAACCTGCAGTTACCTCTCCCGGAGTAGGGATAATTTTTTATTTCCCCTGAAAACCACCGCTGCTGTTTCTGCCACCGGGCAGCAGGCGAGAAGCAGCGTCCAGCTTGACTGGTGCGTTCAGGGCTGCTCCTTTCCCGTGACGTTTGTGCTCCTTTACAGAGCAAAGAGCTGCTATTTAGGAAGCAAAGGCCACAGTTCACCGCTTGCTTGGAAACAGCCACAGCAATGCAGTTGTTAAATTTGTCTGCTGCTTTTAAACACTCCCTTGGGTGCATTTCGGCGAGCCAGAGCGCGAAGCAGCATCACGGGGAAGAGAAGTGACTTGCTGCTGGTCCTGGATCCCCAGCAACTGGAAACCCCTGGGGGAGTGAACATTAACTTGAATTGCTTTACCCCTTTTCTCATCCATCGTCTTCATCATCAGCCTTTTGACAGCCCTTGCTTTCTTGAGCTCCTCTGCAGCCCCCCTTTATTCTGGGGCCCTTCCAGAGTTTATTTGCCTCCTGTGATAGTTCATGTGCAGCTGGTCCTGCCCCATTGGGTAAAGCACAGAAGGGGAACCCAAGTGTTTAGTGCCGAGCCCAGGACTTTAGCTGGGCTCTTTCTCCCTCTTTTCAGAAAGCTCTCCAAGGGATATATAGGAGAAGCTAAGTATTATTTGAACGTGGGAGCTGGTGTAAGGCTTTTGGGGATTGTTTTCTCCCCGCAGCCTGAAGGACGAGCAGCCGGTGCAGTGCGGGCAGTACGACGGGCTGGTGGAGCTGGCCACCATCTGCGCTCTCTGCAACGACTCCTCGCTGGACTACAACGAGG